TGTTTCATTATAGACATTTGCAGAAAAAATTCCTGAGAAAGAGCATCAATATATGATTGCGTCTTTAACCGAAAGATTCCTGATCCCTCAAACTGAAGTTGAAGCTTGCGTGCGCAAAACAAAAGTAATATTAGGTATGATTTTCATAACAATTTTCGAAATAACATCATTGTTAAAGTAATAATACTTCTAAAAACTCTACATCTACTAATCAGCTTATCATAGTATATGTAATACGAGAAAACGTAGAGTGGGGAAATAAGCCAGCCCGATCGATTAAGAAGAAGAAGACAAATATTTATTTTGATAATTCATGGTTACGTTAGTTGATAGTTACCTAATTTATTTGATCTCATGGTTACATGATGTGTTAGAAGTTAGTTGTTTAGATATCCAAGATACTCACTTGTAAAAGAACACTCGAATGAAACGGACCGCTGCCAGTGAGCAGAGCTGACTAATTATTTGTGAAATTTATATTAACTCTAAATATATTTCTATTTCTATTTCTCTGAAATAGTGTAGTGTTTATACTCGAATAACCATATCAATCATAAAGCTTAATATTAAAAAAAATTTTAATCTATTTTCCAGACGATTTTATATCACTTTACGTAATGTTCGAAACCAAAGGCGAAAACAATGATAGCGTAAGGAGGGCCACCTGTACGTTGGCTTGCTGCGCCCAGGCTCAAGGGGCGGTATGTAAACATTTCCATATTTCTTATACGAGTGAAATAAAAATTAACATTTCACATTCCATTTTTATTTTTTATAAGTAGATGTCTGGTACCAACATCGACACAGCTACCTTGCACAATATGGTTACAAACCGCTTTGCCTCAGATGTCGCGAAGCCGCTACTCCACGCAGCCGTGGATGCATGCGCAGAATTAGGTAATTAGACACAGTCGTTAACTCCTTCGAGGACACAGTTGCAAGTAACTTGCGATATTTCTTACTGTAGCGACTCTAGTAGCGTGTGTAAATGCATCTGAGATTTATTAGCCGATGTGTTGCATTGCTCCTTTCCATAATGAAACAACATATACAACAGTAAATAACTCAATTTTTGTTCACAAAACAGTTTCCTCATTTCAATGTAAATGCATTTCTCTTTTGTTTCGTAAATTGTTTCCAACTTTCAACGGTGAATACTCAGTGAGAATACATTCACTAATAAAGATGAAAGAAAAATGCTCGGCACAGCGGCTAACGCAATGCATGATTTTTCACTCACTTGCCACGATCTGACAAGGAAAATTTAGAACAAGAGTATAATATATGGTATTGAGTATACTACAACTATCCTTAAAAAACAATTTCGAAAACATTGTTTCCACGCGGAGTCGAGTTAACCTTAAGTTTCCTTTTTACAGTATTTGGAGGATATGGAGACGAATTCAAAACGCATATTTAATGATATTTTTAATAACATATTATTAGATTTACATTAGTGGAATTGTGAAATATTTAGCTTTTGCTCGTGTTGGACTTAAGACAATGCAAACGTCATTTGACAGTCATGTTCATAAAATCTTCAATAATTTTGAAGTGAATTGCACGAATATTTGTAG